ACCTAGGGAGGATTTTATTTGGGGTTTATCTTTTAACAATTCGACAGAGACACAACTTTAAAATTTGATTTAATTCGGTTTTATCGGGGGGGAATGTATTTATGTTTTGTTTTAAATATGTTGTGCGCCGCCCTGAGTCCCGTTGGGAGAAGGGCGGCATATAAATTAAATTTATTATTATTATTATTATTATTATAGATCAAGCCAAATCCAAAAATGCTAGGGAATTCCTGGAAGCTTGGCACTCAGACAAATCAGTCATCAATAGAGATAAACCACATTTAAACACCATTCAAAGGGGTCAATATAAAAGCTAAGAAGGAAACAAAAAGACAGAAAACAGCCTCTCCAGCAGCCAACATCCAAATAAGCAGGTATTGACATCAGATCAAAAAAAAATCAAGCAGAAAACAATATCCTACTCAAAGAACTACAAAGGAGAAAATGACACCCACACAATGTATACACAGGGAGCAAACTGCACGCTTACTAACATTAATGATGTTACCTAGTTAGGTAATGACAAGTCTTTAGAGAGCCAAGCTCAGAGAGCATCAAGGATTACACAGAATAAGATAATTTCAGAAAATAACTTGCTTTATCACTATGCCCTCAAAAGGATAGTTGGAATATGAAAGCCCTTATTCCAGTCTAAAAAGAAGTTGATAATACAGCTGGCAGGGATACATACACTACATACTGTACATTCATACATACATATTTATTGAAAGTATTTTCCTATAATTCATGGATCCTAAATTGGCTATTTGAAAGTCTATTTTGCCTGAAAAAGTAGTAACAACTTCAGAGCAGCTCAGAAGAAAAATAAGCTTCGCTTAATCAAAGAAACCCCAGAAGATCTTGCACTTTAGAGCAGAGCTGAGTCATCAATATGAAAATTTTATGAACATATATAGTAAATCCTATTCCTCATACCTGAGTAATTGCCTAAATTGCAGTAGTAGCCAGTTTGTTTGAGTGGTTAAAGATATCAAGCTGTAAACTGGGAGTCTGTGAGTTCTAGTCCCGCCTTAGGCATGAAAGCCAGCTGGGTGACTTTGGGCCACTCATTCTCTCTCAATACAACTCACCTCCACAGGGGTGGTTGTTGTGGGGAAAATAGGAGGAAGAGGAAGTAATAGGTACCATAACTTGCAACCTTGAACTGCTTATAAAAATGAAAGGGGGATATAAATGAATACATTTGTGGCTGTTATCTTTTTAAACTAGTTCATTCACATTCTTTTGCTGAAGTTGCTTAAGTTAGGCATATCATCTCATTATTGCATATAGAAAAGCCAAGAGAAGTCCAAAGAAAGATGCAATTTAAATGGTGGAATTTTAGCTTTATTCAAGCTCCTCCAATATCAACCTTTTCAACTTTCCCATTCCTAGGACAGACTCACCTCCGCTGGGCATCTGTTGGAGATTGAAGACTTTCCCAGCTGTGCCGCCGTGATGTAGACATAGACCTGGTCAAAACTGGAAAGCCTTCCTCATCATGCAGTGGCTGTTCCTGCTCACCTTTGACAAAGGTCCCCTGGTTCTCAGAACTGCACGGACAAGGACAGACTTCCTCCAAATAGCGATGTGACATCTCGAAACTGGCAGGTGTATCCAAGCTCTGAGCACTGGCAAGTATCTCCTCACCACCTGTGGAATTTTTTGCTGATGAGCAAAAACCAGGAGTTTCCTGTGATGTCCAATCAAGCCGCAAGGGCATGTTACTATTCATCTCTGTAGGTGCCGAATATCCCAGATCCTTATAATACTCTGATCCCTGGAGAGCAGAGTCTATAGAGAGTAGATCTTCTGTGCTGCTGTCAACAATACATGGAAGTGTGTCCTGTTCTGGAGAAGAGGCATCTTCCTGCCAAAGGAAGGGAGGGAATAATTAACTAGGTCAAAGGAGGTAAGGCATGGATGGAGACATACAGTAGAAAGACAGAGAGAGAGTTTAGTAGTTAAGGTATTGGGCTAGAAACTGGGAGAACGTGAGTTCTAGTTCTCCCTTAGGCATAAAAGCTGGCTGGATGACTTTGGGCCAATCACCCGGAGGCTGTGAGTTCTAGTCCCACTTTAGGCATGAGAGCTGGGTGGGTGATTTTGGGCCAGTCACTCCCTCTCTCAGCCCAACCCACTTCCCTGGCTGTGGTTGTGGGGAAAATAGGGGGCAGAAACACTACCTTGAGTTGTACAAAGAAGATTTAATAGTAAGCAGCAGTTGTATAAAAGAAGAGGTAATTCTTTCTTCTGATGGTATTTTTTTCCCTATTGTGTAATACCTAGCACAATCTGGGTCATATTTGAATACAGCTTAGTATACCATAGATTGAATTCACTCATCATGCTAACCCATAAAGTGATTTGTACACATTTGGCTTAGTAAAACCAGACTCTATAGCTTTGATTCATAAGCTGTGGTTAATATTCAGCATGGGTGAATCCACCTATTTCTGCCTTAATTGATAAATCATGGTTGGCAAATATATTGCCTGCAAAGAGAAAATCAAAGATAAGATTAAAAAACAAAACACAAAAAAACCCCTGCAAATATGGCTTTTTCTTCTTTGGGCTTGGAGGATTTCAGATAATATTCTTGCCTCACTTGTGAAAATGCCTCCAAATGGAGGTTCTCCAGACCTATTTAGAAAGGTATGTGAACAGACTGAAAACTGAGTAATTGAGATAAAATCACCTACGATACAAAAGGATACAAGGATGGTTGTGTCAATTTCTTTAAAGAAAACACACATACACAAACATCTGGGTTTTAGTCTATGTCTTTTAAATCTCAGCCCTGTTATCTGGGATTAATGTTTGAATCTTCTGCATATTAAAAAAAAGCCTCTGTGTTAACTAGAGACTTCTTTTTAAATTGACTTTTGTTGTGTATTATCCACAGCCCATTTGTTGTCTGGGCATTATCTTCTCTGATTCTCCAGGTCAGCATATCTAGAGCAGATCTTTTCACACAGTCTCATCCAACTCACTTTCTTACGAGAGATGCTGGCAACGGAATAACAGAGTTGGAAGGGACCTTGGAGATCTTCTAGTCCAACCCCTTGCTCGGGCAGGAAACCCTATATCATTTCAGACAAATGGTTGTCCAATCTCTTCTTAAAAATCTTCAGTGTTGGAGCACCCAAAACTTCTGGAGGCAAGTCATTCCATTGATTAATTGTTCTAACTGTCAGGAAATTCCTCCTTAGTTCTAGATTGGATCTCTCTTTGATTAGTTTTCATCCATTGTTTCTTGTCCTGCCTTCAGGTGCTTTGGAGAAGAGGTTGACTCCCTCTACTTTGTGGCAGCCCCTGAGATATTGGAACACTTCTATCATGTCACCCCAAGTCCTTCTTTTCATTAAATTAGACATACCCAATTCCTGCAACTGTTCTTTATATGTTTTAGCCTCCAGTCCCCTACTCATCTTTGCTGCTCTTCTCTGCACTCTTTCTAGGGTCTCAACATCTGTTTTTATGTTGTGGTGACCAAAACTGGAGCAATATTCCAAGTATGGTCTCACCAAGGCATTATAAAATGGTACTAACACTTCACGTAATCTTGATTCTATCCCTTGGTTCTATCCCTTGAATGAATTAGTGCAGTTGAATGAATTAGTGACCTTCAGCACACCAGCCATGTACTCTGCCACTGAATTCTGGAGCTTTTCTTAGAGTGTCTGGAGACAGTTTCAAATCAAGAAGTTCACAAACAAAATTTCCACTGCTGAAAATGCTCCCTTGCAGCTTCAGCTACATATAGGATACACAAAACTGTTCCATTGCGTGGGAATTCACTCACCAATCAAGGAGAAAAAAAGAATACATATTTACAGCTTGTGGAAGAAACATAATTCTGACTGAAGTGAGAATTTAAATGCTTTTTGGAATTACCATCTTGAAGGGGTTGTTCCTCTAATGCCACGTTGTTGCATATAAAAATAGTTCCACAAATACATATAAGTGGAAGGATCCTTACGTCACCTTCCTAAGTACTTAGTTTATAGTCTGCTCAGAGAGCAGCACAGACCCAGGTTACTTTCTTCCTCCAAACACACAGTTAGGTTGTCCTCTCAGTTGCTAGACCGCAATTAATGTACTCACCCTCTCCTCTGCCATGCTGCCAAAGAAGACCTCATCCTCAGCAATCAAGGATGGGGACAAAGTGTTGGGGCTGTTACACCCTGAGGTGGAGGCAGCGCGATTGCTGGGGAAATCTCCTGCGCTTCGCTTGCAGTCTGACCCTGAGTGAAAGGAGCAGAAGGGCCCGGTTACAAGGCAGGAAGGCTGTGGGCCAGAGGAAGAAGCAGCCTCTTATCTCTCCACCAGCTGAAGGATACAGAAATAGCTGCAACAGTGTAGGAAAAACACAGCATTTGCTTTCACTCTTCCCATAGTATCCTTCTGATTCCACATTGCATTGTTGAAATGAAATGTAGAATCTGCTATTATTAGTATTACTATTAGCTCTTAGTTAATGATCTGATATTGAGATAATGTCGATTTTATTGGTATGATGTCTTTGGTTTAGCGTACTGTACTAAAATCTACATGCCGTTTCTGACGTGCCGATTCATTATCTACACACGTAGTAGCAATGTAGCTGCTACGTTTTCTTTTGGAATCAACTTCCTTACCGTAGCGAATCTTATTCCGAGTCTCTTGCATTGCTTTGCCACCGTGTACTTTGGGAACACTGCACAGCTAATCTGATACTTATTGATGGACGCCGACTAAAAACCCTTCCAAATACATTTTTAAAAATCAAGCATTCATTCTGGTGAAAATCTAGAATGTATGCCACAAGATTTATATTATTCTCTGTTTTATACATTTAAATCTTTGTAATTTTAGACGTTCTACCCCAGGCACATTCTGCTTTTTTTAAATTAACCTGCCAAGCAACTTGAGAGAGTCACTTTAAATCTTTAGGTCCCGGAAAGCGTCACTCTCTGCCAGTGCATTTATGTCTAACAGCTGCTGTCTAAAATGCAGCGTGGGGTTTTCTTAGTTCGTTGCACAGGGAACGTTGCTCTTAAATCTGGACAAATTAGTGAAGCCCCCCCCCACACACACACACACATACACATTCTAGATGTCAGGTGGGAACAGCTTAAATTAGATTCAGATCAGGGTTGCTGTTGCTCCAGGTTTCCTCCTTCCTTGCAAAAGACAAAACCAGCTAGCAGTTAGTTTCTTGTCATCGCTAGTTTGAAGCGACACTCCAGCCTGGGAACAGAGCCAGTGGCGTTGTTGCCCAGAGTGTCCCAGGCCCACCCAGAGTTCTTAACAGTTATCCTCAAATCTGACCTCCCTCCCTCAAACCATCCAGCCTCAATACACGATAAATCAGTCCCCGTAAACTCTGGAACATGCTGTGCACGGAAGAGGTGGCTCTGTGAGGGGAGAGCACTGAGGGCCGCAGGGAGACCATTTTAGGCAATACGCAGCCCTCTAACAGGAGACTGGGGGATGCCGAGCTCTTTCCCCCAGCATGCTCCCCTTTGGCTGTCTGGCCCTACTTCAGAGTGGTTGAGTGATTTCCAGGTGGTACCATGGAGAGAGACAAACTCTGCCAAAACACTGAATGAGGGGGAAGGAGAGGCCAGACATCCTCACGCTTTATTTATGGTGATGAGAAGATAGGAGAGCACACTCAAAGGCAAGAGGGTAGAATGGAGCGTTTCACCATGCTTTGAAAATACGGCTATCGGTGCGTTACGCAGAGCCATCACGTATTTGCAGGAAACGAGGCAGTTGTTTAATAAGATTTTTTTTAAAAAAGGAGTGAAGATATTTTTAAAAACCCACCCTAGTCAGAGTCTGTCCCGAGGCAACTGACATGTTGATGGCGGTTTAATCCAAGATTCATCCCTGATTAATTAGATGATCTCATACATGTTTAGTCTACCCTGGGATCTTCATGTGCTGGTCTTAGACATTTGTTTCGATACCTGCATAAGCTCACAGGCTCATTGATGCAAGTGGGACAATATATAAGTTTTGCTTTTCTCCAAAGACAGGCAGTCCTTGACTTATAACCATAATGGAGCCTGCCTATTATGGTCATGATGGTGGTAAAGTGGGTCACCTACGTGACCTACCCAATTTTATGATTTTTTTTGTGGCAGTTATTTAATGAATACTGCAGTCTTTAAGCAGACCCATTGTTCACTATGGGTGGTTTTTGCTGAAAACTGTAAGTAAAGACCAGAAAAAGTCATAAATTGCAGACACATGAGTTCAAGACACTGCAGACGGTTGCCAAGCACGTGAAATGTCACATGACTGCAGGGGGGGTGCATAGGAACTTCAGAACTGGATCATAAGTATCTTTTGGGGGGTAAGCAAGCTAAGTAACCAGGCATAAGTCAAGGACTTCCTGTACATGCTACATTAATGCAACACACTTCATCTGGTTGTTAAACTGACCAATTTTGTCTCTAACCAGAATTCATTGAACCTAATCAAATGGCTGCATTTATTCAATACATTAAGTTACCAAGAAGCCTGGGCCTTAAGTTTGCCATGCCAGAGCAAACTAGGATCAAATCGTCCATATTCAAAGCCTCTCTCAGTCATAAATCTCACTGAAAAAAATTAGGAGAGTCTTTTTTTTCCCAGCTGAACAAGGTTACAAGGGGGGAAAAATTAGAAGAAAATTCACAGTATCTTGAAAGTCAGATGTGTTTTCATACCATTATACACTACCATGTGACACTAATCATAGATATCTCAGCCTTCACTCCAACATCAAATGACCCAGCAAACTAACTCTGGTTGACAGCCATCTTTACAATGACAGGACAACACTTTAAAAGTTTTATTGTGATTAGGGTGAAAACCGAATTTATCCCCATGTCAGTGTCTGGAAAGGTATGGAAGTAAGAAGAGTATGAGAAATGTGACTGACCTATTATGAGGACATCCTAGCCTTCCACCTCTGTCCAGAGAATGAAAGAGACAATCTCTCATTTTCATCTGGGTTTGATTGACACCAATCAGAATTGGCCAGTCAGCTAAACCCCTGAAGGGTAACCTTCCTCCACAGAAAACATCTATCGTGGGAACTCAGGCAGGAATATTATTCCTTGACACCCACATTAAATCATGCTGAATAATATAAGACTCCGTGCGTCTCTTGCTCATTGATCTATGTACAGTTTGACACAGGAAAAATACAGTCCTAAAGATTGCAAAAAACAGCCAGTCCCCAAAGAATACTATTTGCCCTAAGAAACATTAAACTGTATTCTGCAATTGCCTATCGCACATCCTGGTAGGAACCATAAAAGGTTATGGCTCTTGTACTAAACAAAATGACAGCCTGGGGAAGAAGCTCCAACGTGTGTGTTTGGGGGGGGGGGGAGCAATTAGAAAGCAGCACCACGGCTGTGGCAAGAGTTATATCCTATGTTTGAGGCCCATATATGTGGCCAATCCGATATTCAAATGTCAGAGATACCCAGGCATGCCTGTCCTAGAGAAAAATAAACTAAAAACAAGTAGATGTAATGATGGGTATATACCTGAAAGAGAATAGCTCCCTCCCAGACACCCCCAACAGCAGCTGTTCCTCTTTGGAAAATTCAGCAAGCACTCTACAAATTTGATTCTATAAGTAATATACTTCCGTCTATTAGCCAGGCTCTGTTGGAAAGCCACAATCCCCTTCTAGGATAAATCAATTCAGAAGAACAGAGCTTCCCCTTTATGCATAGAAACTCATGCACACACATGCACATACAAAGGCAAAAGTCCAAAGAGCCGTGGCTGAACCAAATATACCCAAGGTGTAAATCACTCGGGAAGAAGAGCGCAGCCAAATATTTACATTGGGCCCGCTTTCCCCCTCATGGCAACGGCCTCTCAGTGGCTGTGGAATCCATAGGCAAAACTCAGCCTGTTCTGCCTCGTCGTCGTCGTCCCTGGGTGACAGCTGTCCCCAACCATGGGCCCTTGCCACGTTACCTCGCTTGAACGACCATCTCTTCATCCACCTCCTGGAGAAGGATGGCCAAGAATGATTGAGAAGAGAGTCGGCCATGGAGAAGCCGGCCTCCGTCTGGACTGCCCGGGAAAAGTGGAGGACAGACAAAGGCAACTCCTCTGGAGCTCCGACCCAGAGGGAGTGGAGGAGGCAGCAAGCAAGGGCTTTGTCAAAGTCATCAGCTGAGAGGAGGCAGCGGGAGCCAGGGAGAGACTCAGCCAGACCTGCTCCAGCACAAGACCAATTGACAGTAGCAACAGCTGCCTGCTTTCTCTCCAAGCCAAGCAGTGCCTTTGATGAGGGGGACTGACATATAAAGGAGATCTACTTTACTTGCAGATGATTGTTGTTGCTGTATTTAAAAGATAGCCATTTTATTTAACCCTGCGTCTTCGGGTATTTTAGTATGGATCAGACGTAAGAAGCGGTCACCTTTTGCGGGCCAGCGTTTAGTTATAGTTCTATTCCCACCACACTTGATATCATAAGTTTGGCAACCACATTTTAGCCTAGTGTGTCATTCAGATCTAATCGCTGTGGTAAATATATGGTTTGGAGTGTCATGTGGACCAAAAGAAGAGAGTTTCATGGTTAATTGCAGATATTGTGTTCAAATAATAATAATAACTACTACTACTATTATTATTATTATTATTATTATTATTATTATTATTATTATTATTATTATGGCAGTGCCTGGAGGCAGCAGAATACACGAGAAAGAACTGGAGAAGATAACAAAATACAAAGACTTACAAATAGAAATAGAAAGACTGTGGCAAAGGCAAGCAAGGGTAGTACCAATAGTAATAGGCGCCTTGGGTGCAATCCCAAAACAACTGGAGCACCACTTGAACACCATTGGCATTGACAAATTCGCCATTAGTCAATTGCAAAAGGTGGCCTTACTAGGAACTGCTTCCATCCTGCGACGATATCTGTAATACCATCAAACATCCACATCTGCCTATCCCAGGTCCTTGGTAAGGACTAGATAGGTAGACAAAAATGCCAAATCCAGTCTGAACATCTGACTGACTGTGCGATGATCCATCATCATCATCATCATCATCATCATCATCATCATCATCATCATCATCATCATCAAGTAATAATGTTGGAAGGGACCTTGGAGGTCATCTAGTCCATCCCCCTGCTCAGGCAGGAAATGGGAGACTTTTCTATGTCTGCCTACATGAGTGTCATTCCGTGCTGACCTTGTCTTTCAAAGTAGAATTCCTAAAACAAAACCTAAATGGTGACAATCTGAACTTTGAGAGGAAGAGATGTAAATCAGTCACAGAATACCTGATTTTCAAGTCAAAAACCCTCCGGGTCAGTCCCTGCCAATTCCAGACACACAAAAATGGAAAATATATTCGATATTTTTGAAATTGGAATCAGGGGACTATTGAATGTAAATCAAATACACTAGTTAACAGTTACGAGGAATGGAAGGGCAACATTGCAGAGAAAAGCAGCTGGAGAAAACCTGTCTTGAAAGAGGTGGGCCAGCTGGTTATTTCCTGAATATCTCAGCATAAGAAAAAAAGAAAGAAAAGACGAAGTCTCTTCATTGCCACAAACACTGTTCCAAACAACATGCCACAGAACTGGGCTCTTGTCTCTTCTAAAATCAAGAAAAAAAGCATTAAGACCAGAGAAGACAGATTACATGTTTGCTGGATTTAACTACATTTTTTTCAAGGCACAGCAGGCAGTTCTCGACTTACTCTTATTTAAGGACCATTCAAGGTTACGAAACTGCTGGGGGAAAAAGTGACAATCGGTCCTCACACTTCACAGTGTCCCCACCGCCACCTGAACAAAATGCAGACACTTGGCAACCGCCATGCGTTTACAACAGTTGCAGAGCCCTGGAATCGTATAATCACCATTTGTGACCTTTCCAGGGAGCTTCTGGCAAGCACAGTTGATTGGGGGGGGGAGGCAGATTTGCTTAAAAACCGCAGCAAAATAGGTCATAAAATTGGGTGCAACTCACTTAGTGATGTCTTCAGTTAGCGACAGCAGTTCCAGTCCTAATTGTGGTCATAAGGTATTTCACGGAAACTGAAAGGATGATGTTCATGATTGGTATAGAACAGGAGTCGGCAACCTTGACAACTTTAAGACTTGTGGACTTCAGCTCCCAGAATTCAACTATGCTGGCTGAGGACTTCTGGGAGCTGAAGTCTACAAGTCTTAAAGTTGTCAAGGTTGCAGACCCCTGGTGTAGAGGAAGGCTACAAACAGAAGGAACAGACCCAGTAGAAATGATGGTGTTTTGTACTGTACACAAGGGGGGGGAAATGAACCAGCCGAAGAAAAATACATGATAGAATCTAGAAATATAGTTCTAGAAATTGGAGGAATCCTATCAGAAAAGGCTGAAGCTCAAAAGGAAGTGAGATGCCATATCAAGAGTTCGGAATAAATATAATACAAAGGGTTTTTTGTTTTTTTTTACGAAGTTGCCTCTTTGGTTGTCCCCCCATGAAGTTTTTTTTTTTTTTTTTAGAAAAGAAATGGCAGTGAAGCCGGACTGGTAGACGTGAGGTAAAATAATCTCTCTTAATTTTGGTGACCCTACCCTCAAATAATAATAATAATAATAATAATAATAATAATAATAATAATAATAATAATAATAATAATAATAATAATAATAATAATAATAATAATAATAATAATAAAGTTGGAAGGTACCTTGGAGGTCATCAAGTCCAACCCCCTGCTCAGGTAGGAAACCCTATACCATTTCAGACAAATGGCTGTCCAGTTTCTTCTTTAAAATTTCCAGTGTTGGAGTATTCACCGCTTCTGGAGGCAGGCTGTTCCACTGGTTAATTGTTCTAACTGTAAGGAAGTTTCTCCTTAGTTCTAGGTTGCTTCTCTCTTTGGTTAGTTTCCATCCATTGCTTCTTGTCCTGCCTTCAGGTGCTTTGGAGAATAGCTTGACTCCCTCTTCTTTGTGGTAGCCCCTGAGATACTGGAACACTGCTATCATGTCCCCCCTCGTCCTTCTCTTCGTTAAACTAGACGTACCCAATTCCAGCAACCGTTCCTTATACGCTTTAGTCTCCAGTCCCCTAACCATCTTTGTTGCTCTTCTCTGTACTCTTTCTAGAGTCTCAACATCTTTTTTACATCGTGGTGACCAAAACTGGATGCAGTATTCCAAGTGTGGCCTTACCAAGGCATTGTAAAATGGTATTAACACTTCACATGATCTTGATTCTATCCCTTTGTTAATGCAGCCCAGCACTGTGTTGGCTTTTTTGGCAGCTGCAGCACAATCTAAGCAAGGGTTAGAATTAGAAGGTCATGTCTGCCATTGCTTTACTTACTTACAAATGAAAGAAATATTCAAAGTAGATAAAAAGAATCACAGGCTTGATTTTGTTAAAAACGAATTGGAAATTTCACTATGTGGTAGTGATGACATATTATGGCTAAGTTTTCCAAAACGTTATTGAAATTGAATTTAGAAAGTGAACATGTAAAACATTGCATGATTCAGCACTACATTATAATTTAAAAGAAAACTTTTATAAGATGATGTATCACTGGCATTTAAGACCAGATAAGTTATTCCAGAGTGATCTGGAAATGGGGGAGATAATTACAGAGCCCTTGTCATGGTCAGATCACGCACTCCTTAAGATGGACTTCCGGACCGCTGCCCCTCGCCGCAGGGAGACGGAACCGCCTAGATGGTTCCGTCCCAGGCGCCTGATGGACCCAGAGGGGTTTCTGACGGAGCTTGGGCCATATCCTGAGGAGCTAGGTCACGACTCGGCGGAACACCAGGCTGCGGCCTGGGATGTGGCCGCAGCCGCAGCACTGGACCGAGTCGTGCCG